AAATTAGTAGAATACCAAAGATAAGATTCTTATCGCGAATCATCTGAGAGTAGACAATTCTTAAATGGAAAGAGGGGAATGTGTCCCAGCTTGCTCTGGGCTCCAACTTTTATGTTAAAATTATCTTGTATGTCCATGCATTGGAAGGATTTTCCTGTCTAGTCATGTTTTCAGTTGTAAATCAGTTCAACTCTTATTCATATTTACCCCAGCTTTGAAGATCAGAATTACTCCACACAGTTTTCAAAAGTGTGACTTTTTGAAAGCAAATCTCCAGAATTTTTCCAAAAAGCCTCTGGTGGATTCCATTAGCCAATCTTTGGATTGGTAGTCTAGTCATTAAGGGTGGTGTAGTGGTTGTGTTGTGATACTTGTGATGGTCCAAAGTTGGAAACCACCAGCAGCTCCTTGGGAGAAAGACTGGGCTTTCTCCTCCCATCAACATTTACACTCTTGGAAACCCACAGGGGTCACTGGGAGGCGCACTGATGGCAGCGAGTTTGGTTTTCCTGGTTTGAGGAACTCCTTTGCCTCATCCTAGGAAACAGAACAAGACTTTCAGGGTGAAGTAAGTGAAACTTGTGAATGAACATTCATAAAGTGTCTTAGGTGAATTTTTTTATGTAGTAAAATTCAAGAAGCAATGATAAAAAGAGTCAGGTAAAAGTGAGCATGCTGACCAAGTTGGCCAAAGGAAACAAAATTTGGACTAAGAGTCTAAAATGAAAAAACAATATTTATTCCAAGAAAAAGGAAAGTAGTTAAGGGAAGAGGTCATGGGCGAAGAAATAGAACGTGCTTTATCTTACTGAGTGGGATAGGGAGTACATTAGACAGAGATAAGGAGAAGGAGATGACCAAAAGAGAAAAAAAGTATCTACTGTGCTTACTGGAAGTATTTTTTGGATAAAATAGTGTTGGATAAAAATTCCCAATACTCCAGCAATAGTGTGAAATTTTCACAGAATCTGCCAAAAAAAATAAGATGAAGAGAAGGAAAAACAATGTGTAGAACTATATTCGCTTGGTACTAACACTTTGGGCTGTTATGTGATATCTTGAACCAGTTGTATTATTATTACTAGCAACATACTCAACAACTGTATGTATGTATAATTTTTTGGTTGTTCTCGACTCCCTACAGTCTTTGTCCTACTCTGAAGGACTACATGAAATTATCCACAGTGGATCTTATCATTCTCATCATTGAACTGTCAATGAATGCTACAGTGACTTTGATGGTCTGGTTCTCTGTGAGATCTCCTGTAAGAACTAGAAAACATTCTGATTCAAGAGCACTGGGTGGGCTCGAATAGCCAGCCTTTTGGTTCATAGTCCAGTACTTAAGTGTGTACATGACTGAGGCACAAATACACAACACCCTTCAAAATACATGGAGCCTAACCTCTGGAAGTTTATGTAATACTACAGCTTTAAATGAGCAAAAGGCATATTATTAAGCCCTTTATGTATGTGTGCCTATTTTAATTTTCGGGTTTGCTATCATAGTTCTGCAAATCCATACGTAATCTTGTCTTATGCCAAAAATCTTGAAAAATATTTATGTCATTTTTCTCCAAACTATTTTATACAATGAATAAAAGAATTCCTTATGCTTCATTAGTAAAAATGTGAATATTTTTATCTGACCTAAGCATAGAATCAGATGCATTGTAGTAAAAATATTGGCAAGTTCACTGTTAGGTGTACACCACCAAATTTATTAGCCATACAAAATTTTTGCCAGAGTTCTTCACATGTTTTTAATTTCCCTATAAATTCACATGTTAATTTTAACTAAAAATCTATAAATTCACATGTTAACTATATCTGAAACACTGAATTAACATGAGAATCTTGTCTTTAACAGCTCTGTGTAATATGTCCCATGATATTTTGATATTAATGTTAAAAATATGAGGGTAAGTCAAAAGTATCGCTATAAAATCTTACAAGCCTTAATGA